ATAATAATAATAATAATAATAATAATAATAATAATAATAATAATAATAATAATAATTATTATTATTATTATTATTATTATATTGGTCAATCAGTTTCTCAGTTGTGGGTATTATATTTTTCTAATTTTTTAGATCCTTGGGGGAAGATTTTGAGATTCTAGTGTTTATTAGAGCATTTTAGTGTTTATTAGAGCATTTTCTTTAGGGTTGAATGAGAAAAAAAGTTAATACACTTATTGCATTCTCAACAAATGATGTTTCTTGAAAAATGTTCATAAATTCATTGACAATGCAAAGTAGATAATTAGGAGCAAACAATTAACATTACTGCAGATTTTGTGTAATACTTATTTGTAGTATCTCTAGAAACTATGGACTGAACCAAGGAATACTGAGAGGGGTCTAATGTGGATCACATACTGAATTATATTTCCTTATTTCTGCTAAAGGAGCAAGGCTTCCAGAAGTTTGCATAAATATATTTGACTTGATACACATAGAAATGCACAACCCATATGAAATTACTCAATAAGTAGCATATTAAAAATATAGGATAAACACAGAAGAAGCATCTGCAATTGCATTGCATTGCAGCATTATTGTTCTGTGTCTATCTGCTCCTTGCTTAAATATGTATTAATTCATGAAGATGAATGTACAAAAATATTAGTGAAGAGATAATTATTTATATTTTAAGAGAATTTAAAATATGTTTGAGATTTTTTTGTTTTTTGGAATGGTAAGAATCTTTAAATAAACAATACAGTTCAAATGGATTTACAAAAGCACTTAGAAAAGAATGATACAAGATGTTTTACTGTTGGTGTATTACCCCAGTGCTAATTGCTAAAATAGAAACCTCATTTTTAAGATCTATCAGAAATGCAATAGTCAGAAGGATTATTCTTTTATATTTGGTGACCATGGTGTAAAGACTAATACTTCTGAGAGATAATTTATTTTGGAATAAAACACATTTTAAAGGTTAAATTCTCTTTCCTGTTAGCTATTTTTCTGTTAAGTATTACTAAACTTTATATCCATATAAGGTATACCAGGTTAGCTCTGTATATGACAATGATATATATTTTATATCTATTACTGGAAATAATCCATAATTTCATCTTTAGAAGAAGTATTCAGTAAAGCATGCATTCATGTCAAAAATAACTTCATATCTGAAAAAAAGTTTAACAAAATTGGTAACCATTTCGCGATTATAATTCTATGCATTGACTTTATCATATCCAAAGTTTGGAAGTCTTAACATGAGGTTTTAATATATTAACTTCTGCTTTAATTGTTAAATAAGGATAGAATATTTAGACTTGACAGAAAATTTGTTAGTTCATTGTGATTTATGATTCAGATTGTACTGACCATTTTAGTTAATCAGTATTGAATTGTTTTTAATAATGATTTGAAATTTTGGATTAATAGAAGAAACTTTATTATATAGTACTGATCTAACTGTGAAATGCTAATTTTATTTGTTTATCCCAACTTTATATTATTTTTACAAATAACTACTTCTTCCTCCTATTTTCTCCACAACAACAAACCTGTGAAGTAGATTGGGCTGATGATTGGTTCAAAACCACACAGCTGGCTTTCATGGCTAAGGCGGAATTTGAACTCAAGCTCTCTTGCTTTTTACCTTGGTGCCTTTACCATTAGATCAAACTAGGCAGCTTGTAAATATATTTTTTATTCGCTTTGCATTTTTCAATTTTTCTTCTGTTTTCTGTTGGCAGTATTTTTAGAGAGCTCCTAAAACAAGTAAACTATTACTACTATTATACGACTTTCAGTGAAAACAAACATTTTTCAGCTACCTGGATTCCTAAGCCAGAATTCCATCGGTTGAATTATAAACTAAATAGAGTTCTTGATATCCTATGAGATATACAGTATTTCTGTCTGCAACAGCTAGGTATGACCGAATTCTATACTAGTTGAAATAGAAGTTACTATCTTAAAAAGCACCCTCTTGAAAAACACAATGCTGTTGTATCATCTGGAACTGACCAAAACATGGATAATTAGAAAAAGACTCTTTGTATAATTGATTCCATGCTATTGATCACAGAAGGGTAGAAAGAAGAACTGCATCTATTGGCAAATCATTAGATGGTTTTGAAAAGACTGATATGCTCCCAATTGTTTCAATAAAGATGTAGCAAAATGATCTCTTGTTTTAACTGTTGCTGAAGTTAGCATGTATAGATTTTTGTAAAAGGATTGTAACAATTAGTTTGTAGTAAAAGAACAAACAGTCTTTATCTTTTCCACAAAAGAGCAACTCTAGCAGAGGGGGGTTGCTCCCGGTTTGGTCCAGATTGGGCGAACCGATATTAGCGGCGGTGGGAGACTCCGCCCCCCGGACTCTCATGTGCATGCCCGAACTGATAGTAAAAAAATTGACAACCCACCAATGAACTCTAGGGTTCTTTCCTATATTCTTAGTTATGAGGGAGGGACAGTGGGAGGACATTGCTTTATCAGCTGTCTTTTTGCCATGCCTCAAATATGAGACTAGCAAAAGTGCTGCCCTCAGTTAAGAGCAGGAAAGCATCTGCTGCTATTATCGGGAATGATAGCAGTAATTCCAGAAAGATTGGAGATAAGGGAAGGAATCCACCATGGTGGTAGATGGCGAAGGATCTGCAATGGGGTGGGGAGCATTGAAGAGAGAGCAAAGAGGGAAAAGAATCCCTTTCTTGTTTCTAGCTCCTCTGACAGTAAGCATAGAGCAAAGGGTAGATGGAGGCTGTGGAAGTCAGTATTAATAAGGAAGAAATGTTGCTCTTCTCTCACAGCCAAAGAAGAAATGCCCAAGGAGCTACATGAGGCCAGATGAGAGGAGCAGTCTAGCAGTAAGCAGGTTGCAGCCCTGCAGGTCACTCATCTCCCCAAGCCTTTTGTTCATGTGAATCAGAATCTTGGCACAGAGGAAGGTTTCCACAGGAAAATATTTGGAGTAACCTGGGCTAAAGTGGAGGCTCTGGTGTTAAAATATGTGAGTAGGCTATTTCTGTGACAGAGCATAGGGACTATGTAAACAAACTGTTAGGAATAGAAATAACCTTCATCTCCAAACCTCAAGTTTTATGTGGAAGAATAAACTGTATAATATTATCATTTATTGTTATATTGCATTGTATTTATCAATGTTTGGATGCTCTCTATTGCCTAGCATTCTAGCTGATTGAAACCACAAGTAAATAAATGAATGGGATACCAGAGGCCATCAAAAGAAATTGAGAATGAGCACAGTGTCTGGGTTTTCCTGTCATTTTATCAGCACATAAGCAAGGAAGAAGTTTTCGTGGGCAATAGTTTTGAAACTAGACTGCTGTTTCTATGCTTGAGTTGATTTGTGCTGCATCAAACTACTCAGTATGGAGCTGTATAGTATCTGGGGCCTGTTATGTCTTGTTTAAGAGAGTCTGTGGGAGAATCACTATGACTTTCATGTTAATGGGAACCGAAACTACTAGGATTAAATAAGACATATATCTTTAGAGTTTTTGATATAATATTTTAAATAGATTTTTCTTTTCTTTTTGTTTGATAACCTTTTAAAGTTAAATAAATGTGCTTAGAAAATAGAAATATACCAAGAAATAATTTTGCTTGGCTTAAGCGGAGATACAAATATATAAGATATCTATAATAAACCTACCTATTCTTGTTTTTTCAGTTCTCATATCTTAGCAGTTTATCAAAACATCTTTGGCATTTAAATACATGATTTTTTGTCACAGCTATGATAGAATATTGAAGAAATCAAAATTAAGTAACTTTTGCTACATATGTGTAAGATGTCAACATTTTAATCAAGTGTATTAATCAAATCTGATAGATATTGGAATAATTTTATAAATTTGTTGGGCATCAATTTTAGGTAATCCTCATCTTACAGTCAGAGTTTCTATTGCTAAGCAAGGCAGTTGTTAAGTGAGTCATGCCTGATTTGTAATCTTCTTTGTCATAGTTTTTGAGCAAATCATTGCAATTGGTAAGTAAATCACACAGCCAAGGTAGCAAATCTGGCTTCCGCCCTTAACTTTGCGGGTCAGAAGCCAGCTTGGCAGGTGGTGCAACAGTTGAGAATCAATCATAAGTCTTTTTTTCAGTGCCGTTGTAATATCAAACAGTCACTAAATTAATGGTGGTAAGTTGAGGACTACCTATACATTATTTCTGACAAATCAGTTAATGATTTTGACATTACAAAATTTCTGATGTAATTTCAATTGTCTCTTACTGTACTTTTTCTTGTTAGCTGGTTTTTCTGAGTGCTTGTTTCACCTGCTGAGTGCTTTTAGATTTTTTAAAAATTTTTTAGGACAACTTTATGAACTCATTTTAAATTAAACAAATTTTATATATTGAAAAATCTATTTTTCTTGTTTTATTACTTATGCAGTAATATAAATGTTTTATTTCTCTTTTTTCTTTCATCTCTTTCTAATCCATAGGCAGAAAAAAACTGAGTTGAAATAGACGAAAATACAGAATTGGCAGGTAAAAATTATAACTCCTCTATCATCTTCCTCATCAGGTATATAGATTTTTAAAATAGTTTTGAATTTTTAACCATAGGAATTATAAAAATTATTTTGTATTTGCTTTTTTACTTCATGGGTCTATTAATCCCTTTCAAAGTATGGCAAGACTAGCATTTCATTTGTGAAAGCTTTTAAAAATATTCTATATATAAAATACGTTCAGATAGGTTCAAAGGCAAATTTGTAGCTGCAATGGCCATTGTGGAAAAATTTTCAGAAATTATTTTTTCATATCATCTGCCAACCTCCAAACATAAAAAGTATCTTTCAGCTATTACAGAGAATAGAAAACTTGTGTGTGGTTCAGTTAAATTGCCGCATCTGAAATGTAAAAATTCTACATCAAAGACTGGGTTAACCTAGAAGTGATCTAACTTTCTTCTTTAGACTGTCTTACTGAATCTCTGTATTTATGTCCCAAAGTGATTACTGCACACATAGGAATTAAGTACCAAGGCCCACAGAAATGACCTGAGAATTTTTGGAAATGTGTTTAGAGACTGAATCTAGATAAATATAATTGCATGTAGAATAGAATTATACTGAAGGCTTAGATGTAAAGTTATGGTGATTAAGTTTTTAGACTTTCTGGGTATTAACTACTATTTTCTTTCAGTCTGTTTTGGTTTTAATGACCACTTCATATTATCTTGAAAGTATTGTATAAAATCATTGTAAAAATAGAACTTTAAGAATGCAAGTTTAAATTTAGATAAAACCCATTTATAATATGTTGTTCAAATAGAGTTCATAATAATCAATATGTATTTCCTTATCAGCAGGTCTTAACGTTGAGCAGCCATGGCTGCTCAATCATTGGACTCCCCTCCCAATCCAAGCTGTAAAATTATGACATTTCAACCAACAATGGATGAATTCAAGGATTTTAACAAATACTTGGCGTATATGGAATCAAAAGGTGCTCATCGTGCTGGTTTAGCAAAGGTACTTTTTTTTAAAAAAAAATTCTAGATGGAGGAACAATGAATGTTACTACATTACAGATAGTCCTTGACTTGTAACAATTTGTTTAGTCACCACTTGAAATTACAGCAGCACTGAAAAAAGTGACTTATGACTGTTTTTCACACTTATGACCATTGCAGCATCCCCATGGTCATATGATAAAAATTTGGATGCTTGGCATTTGACTCTGGTGGTACAGTGGTTAGAATGCAGTATTGCAGGCTAACTCTGCCTACTGCCAAGAGTTTAATCCTGACCAGCTCAAGGTTGACTTAGTCTTCCATTTTGCTGACTCTGTAAACAATTTAGAAAGTGCTGTAAAGCATTATGAAGCAGTATATGTCTAAATGCTCTTGCTATGATGGTTGCAATGTCCTAAAGTCATGTGATCATCTTTTGCAACCTTCTGACAAATAAAGTCAATGAGGAAGCCATATTCACTTAAAACTGTGACAGGAAGGGTTGTAAAATGGAGCAAAACTCACTTAACAACTGTCTTCTTTAGCAACAGAAATTTTGGGCTCAATTGTTGAAAATCGAGGACTGTCTATATTCACATCTTAAAAGCTTCTACTAAATGTTTATATAATACTATACTTACTTAGCAGTATTATTTTAGCACAATAACCCATTACCAAAATACAGTGTGGAAACACTCATAGGTTGTGCTGCGATGTAATCCCAAAATCACAAGAAAGAAGTGTATCTGATAGCTTTTTCTTAGAAGCTGAATAGAGATATAAGAATGATCAGAACACTCAGATAATTCTCTCGGGATCAACCAGAAATTTCTTGGTACTATTTTCTGTTATTTCTTGGAGTAGTATGAATAGAATCATTCCAAAATGGAGACTTCTCCAACTTTTCCAAACTCTCTAACAAGATACAATGAGATTCAAAAGTGTCAAAAATTTACATTATCCCATTTCTCTCCAAATATATATAATCTACCTGAGTGACCATGACAGTCTTCATGTCCTATATTAATCTAAATCCGACTGGAAAGGAACAAGCCAAGCCATTTCATATAAGCGCTTCTTATCATCTTTCATCAGCTTGACCAATGAAATGTTAGATACGTAAGCATGGTCAAAGCTTATTTCTGAAATCAAGATCTCGTCAATGCCTCATTTAAGGGTTAGGGTTGAGAAATAGCCTGCAAGAAGAAAATATTATTTGTCTCAACATTTGGGAGATGGAGTCTTACTTGTAATGGCATAAACTTATGTAAGAATCTTATTGGCTTCTTCAAGGGACAGACTATAAAAATGAGTGAAACAAGTATTATTAGATAGTGTAGTGCATGGGTTCCCCAACCTGTGGGCCACGGCCCACTACTGGGATGTGGCCTATTTGCAACTGCGTTGTGTGTGTGATGGGCCCGCATGTGGACATGCAGCACCACTTGTGTGAGTGATTGGTGCTGGGGCCTGCAGCCCAAGTCACATGAGCACCTGCCCCTCACACAGACCTATTCCCTCCCCCCCCAATGGGCTGCCAACCCAGAAAGGTTGGGGAATGCTGGTATAGTGGACACCCATAGCATAGTGCTACTTACAGTACGGTAATCACAAAATCAGTATGAATCCAGATAATTTGAATAATACTCAAATTTTCTCATGATAGTGTACAAATGGAATCTGACTTTTGTTAGAACTATTAAATGTATCCAACAACCCTAAAAAGCTCCTTGGATGTAGTCCATATCCTGCTGTATTCTATCATTACTATAGCATAGGTCTTAATGATGATGCCTCTATTATGCTTGAGTTTCTCCTGGATCTACAGTATGTCTTCTTCTCTTTTGCTACAATGCCTGCAGCTACATAGCATATCATGATGCTATGTGTATTCCAGTTTAACATTTTATTGAGTTATAAGATATTGTAAAATACAAAATACAAAACTAAATAGAAAAGCAGTGTGGTGGAAACGGGGAAAAAGAAGTGAGGAAGGATAAAAAAAGAAAGAAAAAGAAGCATTAACTTCCGACACACTCTGTTGCAGTAAAATAAGACATTAACATCAAATCATAACATTTTGGATGCTTGTATGTATTCCAACATGAGGTAAGAGTGCTTAGGGGACACTATATCAAGCTCCTATGAGATATTGGTGTTTCATGTACCAAAGCCTGCCACTACATTTAAGCAAACATTCTCTAGTGGGGGCAGTCATTTAAGAACACCCATCAGATCATAGTGCCATGAATTTGAACCATTGGTCAGGCAGATGAACATGTACATTATATTAACCATTGAAAGAGGAGACAAGTGGATCATGAGTGACTATGAGCAGGGCATCTTGATTGAAGAAAAGTCACAATTAGCAAATAAAATCTAGCTGTTCAAAAGCCTTTCTAGCCACAGATGCCACTTGTTCCACAAGGAGGAGCTGTGAATTTTGAAAAGCTTCCAAATTGTGCAAACATATACAACTCTCTTCAAAGTGAAAGAAGAAAAGTCCTTGGAGTAATTCAGGCCACAAACCAAAACCGCTCCCTGTCAGAGGGATTTAGTTAAAAACTCTTTTTATTCATTCATATATGACAGCCTCTAGGCAATGTTAGCATTTGCCTGGTTAATATCATCAAAAACATTTGTTGTTTGCTGTTTTTTGAGTCACTAGATTTAAACCCAAATCAAATCTTACAGTTATACATAGACATACCTATAAACAGATAAATGATGCTTTTTTAAGAAGCAATATTCTCATATTGAGTTTATTCTTGATTCTTTGTAACATACAAGTTTTACTCTTGGTCCATAGAATGTGGTACTGCTACAAATTATGGAAATACATGCATAATGCATGTAATGGATTCATTATATATTTTAATATCTATAGGGAACTTAATGGAAGGATGCCACTTTTATTCAGCATTATTCTCCTGAATTGACTCCCAAGGAGCCATTTAGATTTACCAACAAGCAGTCTTTCAGACAACATTTGTTTATTTTAAAATTAAAACAACAGAGAATACAGTCTCAAAAAAAGAAATAGTAAGTGTCTAAACATTATGCACCTTTAAGTTAGTGCATAATAAACTGTTCACAAATATTGCTATATTAACAACTTTGAAGTGATCTTCCTAGGTTTACTTATACATATTGTCTCAATGTAATGTTTTTCTCTTCATTGTTTAAAATTAAATTTCAGTCCTTCTAAATTTCTAGGTGATTCCTCCTAAGGAATGGAAGCCAAGAAAAAGTTATGATGATATTGATGATCTGATGATTCCAGCTCCTATTCAGCAGATGGTAACTGGTCAATCAGGTCTCTTCACTCAATACAATATTCAAAAAAAGCCAATGACTGTGAAAGAATTTAGGCAACTTGCTAATAGTGACAAGTAGGTATATTCATTCCATACTTCGTTTCATAAAGGTGCTCAATTTAAATTACATTTAATTAACCGCATCTGTTGTTAATTATATTTAAATTCAGTTGATATTTTTCTGATACCTGGCCTAATTTATTTTATGGTGGGCAACCTCTCCATAAAGTCAAAATAGGGCACTTACTGGGAAAAAATATTCTGTTTGGGACTTGTATAACTGTTCTTTGGTGCATTCAGACTTTTTATCCTTGAAATTCTGAATAAATGATTTATTTATTATTCTTTATGATTTTTGGTAAATTTCTTGATTAGGAAAAATAAATGAATAGAGGTTTACTGCTTAGATATCTAAGCAACTTATTCACAGTAAGAGAACATTTACTAGGAATGACACTGTGATAAGAAGGATGTGAGATAGTTTTATTCATTTATCTTTCCATCCAGTTTATATTAATAAATAGATTCCCTTGTATTACTTCACTATTTTTTCTTTTTGCATTTTATTCCTGTAGCTTAAAGCTATTTTCTCAAGACAGTATTGTTGATTTCCAAAATGTTAATTTTAGAAGATATTTTGTTCTTGGGCCGGCATGATGGCTCAGCACTGGGCTTGTCAGCTGGAACTGATTTTGTCTATATTTTTTAACTTTCATAGTCCGAAGTAAGCTTCTTTACTTGTGTCCCACTTCACTCAGGCCAGAATCCTAGGGACAATTTTATTAACTCTAATAAAGTATCAAATGATTATATTGATTTCCTTTTGAGAGAGTTTGCTGTCAACCTAGCAATAAGATTGCACTGTTCATTGTCCATTTCTTGGAAGTCTGTTTTCCTTTAAGCAATAAATTGGAAAAGAGAGGCCACTTGCCCACAAGTGGCCTCTTTTTTCCAATGAATTGTTGAGGAAGGGGCTTTATCTAGAAGTTCTAATCTGATAGACTTTTGCAACCATCTTCTTTTTTAAAGTAGAAAGTTTCCGTACCTGGAGGTCTGCTGGTCCAGCATTCCATATGCTCTACTGAGAGTCCATTATTGGTACAGTTTAGCCTGTTACAGCCTAGCTCAGCCTATTCCAAGAAAAGTATGTGGCTAATCTCTGAATAGATAGAATATGAGACTAGACAAGAACATCTTGATCATGGACAAGTCACTTTGGATGGCTCTCTGACTCTCTGAATGGTTTGAAATGTTTGCACAAATGTCATCAAAGGAAAACAATAGCACTTGCATTCAATGCTTAACCAGTCCAGTAGTATTACTTGGCTGAATGTTACAGTACCTAAATTCGAGCAAAATGGGAGTGAGTTTGACTCACTCTCAAATTTGCCCCTCTCCAGTAAGTTATGATCCCCAGTTTGAGAATCCCTACCAGTAAGAATTTTAGACAGCTTTCTAATGATTTTGAAGCTCTAAGTTCTATAATAAGTTTTCAAGAGAAGTAAAACTACTTCAGTTGCCTGAAATACCAATGATTTCATTCTTTGAAAATAATTGTTACTACTATTAGATAATTAAGAGTAAGTATATTCCTTTATTTAAAGAAATTTTAGTAGTGAAATGGGCAGGATCCTGACTAGAAAATAAATTTGGAGGATTTGGCATGATGGCAACTGAACATATTTAGGTGGAGTTTATGTGATTTGATGATTGACATATGTAAATCCCCAGTTGCCCATGACAATTCTGGTCACAGTACTTTAAAGCTAAACTCAACCTCCTCTTTACTGATGTCCAGTGCACCATATGTACATTTCCAGGAAATTTGTGATAGTCTGAGCATGTGGACAAGGTTCTTTCAGCTATAAACCAATTCTTTGCCCTCTTGATCTGTAACTAACAAGACTGATTGGAACTGAGGGTGGGCATTTGTAGCATTGTATGTTAGAAATGTACCTAGCTGTGATAATAGATGTTCTATTCTATTCTATTCTGTTCTGTTCTGTTCTATTCTATTCTATTCTATTCTATTCTATTCTATTCTATTCTATTCTATTCTATTCTATTCTATTC